TATATATATATATATATATATACACACACACCAATTGCCAGCAGGTTCCATGTGAATACGTGTGCCCGTCCATTCTCCTTTCTGCTTCAGTTTCCTGTGTATATATGCAACCAAGGTAGCCACCACTTATATAATAAATAATGTATTTCTCACTCAGCTGCCTCAGAAGTTTTCAGCCACAGTTGCTCTTTTTTTTCTTCTGCCAGGTAGCTGTTTCCTTTCTCCTTTTTTCTTTCTGCGTTCGGCTGCCTCTCTTGTATATATATAAAATCCAATTCATTAATAATTTACTACAATTAAAAGTTGAAATTGTGCCCAATTAATTCCAATGCCTAATTAAATAGTGCTTGCTTCCAAGTTCTCAATTCTTTTATCTAATACAAGTTGGTACTTGTACTTTAGATTTTTGCCATTTTTCTCCATATTTTGATTCCTTCTTCAATTCTTTTTCTATTCAAAGAGATTTACCTATTAAACATAAAATACAACAATTTAAAATATATTTTATCAGAAGAACTATCAAATATCAGTATTTAGGTTCCGAATAAGTGTAAAACTTACACTTATCAATATGCTATTGCTACCCATCCAAACTGTGTCGGATAGTCGAAACATCCTTATAAAAAATCATGAATAACTATAAAGAATTGCAAAGAGATCATTGATAAGTTGAGCCTGGTTTGTGCTCGAGCTCGAAACTTTTTAAGTTGACACACATAATAATAAGTCCCTGAAGACAAAGCCACCTCAAAACCGTCTATCAACACCTCCATGGTACTAAAAAGAAAATTCTTAATAAGCATGTTCATGTCGAGTTTGAGATCAATAATTATTTAGTTGTATATATTTGGATGGAAAGGGTGAGCCTGGAAGTAAAAAGAAATTGAGGATTTTGTTTAGTAGCATAATTAAAATATAAGAAATACGATTTAAAATATGTCACTATGTGAGTAAGCGATAATACTACAGACAAAAACATTGTTAAAACGTTGCACTCACTGCCAAAACAGATGGATAAGACAAGAAAGGAACAAGTACAATTAAGGCTTTGTTTGATTTTCATTTATAGAGAGAACTAGTGTGGCAAACGTGCGTTGCACATTAATTGGATGATATCAAAAATAAGTGTGTAACAAAATAAAGAATAAGTCTCGATATACAAATTATATTTACAAACTCGACATACAAATAGAAACCAATTTGAGGATTCTTATCAGATGCAATCCATTCACATGGTTTATATTTAAAAAAATATATAGTATCTTGATTCAACTTTGAGAATATGAAAAATTGTATTTGGCATGCAACATTAATCTAATCTGACAAAATTGTTCACTAATTCAAAAAGAAAAATGACATTAACTATCAGCTTACCAGTGAATATGTATTTAAGAAGAGGAAAAATTGTATTTGAGAAACTTTTGCATATTGAGTAAAATACCAAAACAGATGAATTGCAGCTCAAAGGACGACATTAGCTATAATTAGTAAAATGACATTGAAGCACATGTGGGGGTTCGGGGGAAACGCCCCTGACGGTGATCGACCTGACCGGTCAGGTCGCAGAGGTCGAGAGGGCAGCGCCCTTTGTGGGGGCTCGGGGGCAACGCCCGTGAAAAGAATTATGATTTTCGTGTATATAATGAAGTTGTGTTTTTTAGTGGGGTTAGAAAATGTGATAAGATGCTTTATCATTTTTACATATTGAGATATAGAAAAAAAAATTATATACATCTTATTACAATATAGTTTTGTTGTAATATAATCCAATTAAAAAAAGAAAAAAAAAATTCTACACACCCTCGATCCATCTTATTTTTTCTATCTCCACAACCTAATTGTTTTGGAACTATTTTAGAAAATGTATTTCATTGTTAAAAAATAAAAAAAATAAAAAAAATTGTCTTCGTGCTTGTGGCATGGAGACAGTGTCTCCGTGAGAAGCCGTGCCTCTGTGCGCGCGCACGGAGGCACGGCACACCTCTGTGCGCTCGCACGGAGACACGGCACATGCGCACGAAGACATGTTCTCATGCCTCCGTGCGCGGGCATCTAGCTCCGTGTGCCTCCGTGCACGATTTTTTATTTTTTTAAATACCAATAACAATGATGTTTTTTTTTTAATCATTTTTTTTTATATTGCTACCAATATCGCTTAAGACTTATCAACAAAATGCAACTCAAGCGAAAAACAATAACATATTATCTAGGAACAATGCATTTTTTCTTTTTCCTTTTTAGTTTTTTTTTTTTTTTTGGCCATTTGGTGGGGTTTGGGTTTGGGCGGCAGGGGAAGGTAGACATGTATTGGTGGTTGTAACTGATAACGGCAATGTTAGCATAAGTGCATATCAAAATCACTAGTTCACCACTTATAAGTGCATTCATAGCACCAGCTTTCTTGTGATGCTGGAATTCTGGACGCTTTTAACGAGAAACATGCACTAATCTAAACTTTAACCCAAGTTTATAAAATGAAAACTAAAAACTAAAGATGTAAATAAAACTGATATTTCTCTCATTCCAAAAATGGCATAAGATACTGCAACATTAGTTACATTCAAAGTTAATCAAGGGAGAGCATATTAAAGTTGGCTTCAAACGTATCTACAGAACTATCAACTATTTGCAAGTACCTCTTCTATAACTTTCCATGCAGCCCGACTCCTCTCTCTAGAATAATTAACTTCAGGAATTTGAGGTTGATCTTCTTTAAGATTTCTAAGAATCAAAAGAAAGAAAAATTACCAACTCAATCCTTAACCCAAGATGCATCAATGACATTGTGGTCCCTCTCTAAAATGTCCTTGGCAGGTTCAATAGCACCAAGAGAACTATAATTCTGAACAAACAGGAAAATTACAATAAGAACATCATACAATGATATGTACATCAAAGAGTACGTAACAAAAGAAAAGAAAAAAATAGCAGAAGACGAAAGGGTCTTTATGTTAACCAGTTTATATTCTTTCTTTTTCTTTTTCTTCGGCTTTTTCTTTTTTCTATTTATTTATTTCTTTTTTTTTTCTTTTTTTATTTTTGGTAATTTGCAATTGAAAGTTGAAACATATCATATAAAAGTAATTGCCTCCATCCGCTTGGACGAAGGCATGGAGGAATGCCTTCGTCCAAATGGAACATCTGAAAATGATTGGAAACCAAAAAATAAGTGATCTTGTAAGGAATTAACAAGAAAGAACTTCCATCAAGTGACAAAAAATGTTACCTTGAAATAGAATGCTCAATACCCTGTAGCACATTAAGTTGAAACAGGTTAATTCACATGCATAAGTGTTGAAAGATAACAATAATTTAGACATTCAATAAAACATGTCTAATGCACACATATGGCGCATAAGTATTCTTTCACACAATTGGTTTATTGCTAAAAATCAAGTTGAGATTAGTGAAAGTTGCTAAAGCAAAACATTAACTTGGTTCTCCACACTGCAAATCTAATAATCCAAACTATCAAAAAAAAAAAAAAAAAAAANATTTCTTGTCTTCACTCCAAATCCTTAATTAATTATTATTTAAAGAACGAATACCACAAAAAAAATACTCAGCACTACTGAGTAAATAAACTACATTTAGAGAAACAGAACAAACCCAAGTAGATGGATCAAAATTGAACTCAATTTCTTCGTTTCAAGAATTATTATTTCCTAGTAAAATTAAATTTCATATTAAACTAAGAGAAGAAGTACCTGATTTGATTTTGACAGTGAAAGAGATGAAGCAAAGATAAGAACAAAGTGAAACTCCATGCTGAGAAATCAGATCCAGAGTATACAAGTCAAACATGTCGGTAAAATTCAATTTCAACAATCACCAATTAAATTAACTAAAAATTCAAAAAAAAATACGTAGTTAAATTGAGTTTAAGAAGGGCAATAGATTGATGGTAATAGAAAATACATTTACAGCAAAAAATTGAAAACTATTGAAAAACAATTGGCATTAAAATACCCTATTTCAATCACTATTTTGAGCAATCCCTTTCTCAATCCCAAACTTTGAATCTTGCAAAAAAAAAAAGGTTGGGTGAAAAAAATAGAGCAGCATATAGAGAGAAGGGAGAAAAAACGAAATCGTAACAATCCAAAACCCGAAAATATAATTGAAACATGAGGTATTTCAATGAGAGGTTGCGTGGGAAAATGGAGGAAAATGGAGGAGGAGTAGTTGGTTGCGTGAGATAATGGAAAAGTGCGGTGGGGGAATTTTTGAGAATTTTTTTTTTTTTTTTTTAAACGGGTGATTTTTGACGACGATGAAAAATCGCGACACGTGTAAGATTTGTTTTTGCCTCTTTTAATTTATAGTGATATATTTTGTCATAATAGTTTTCTTAAGAATGTGTATTTAATAATTTTGTCATACTAATTCTTAAGCAACACGAACCCCTCATTTTTATTTTCTATACTTTTTTTTTTTAAAATTAAGTCCCGTTTAATAAAGTTTTTTTTTTTTTTTAAGATTATAAGTTGATGGATCCTATATAATATACAATTAAGAACTAGGTAAAATATGTGGATTTAATGAAATGTATGGTTAAAAATAAAACTTGAAAAACTCATAATCCGTGTTTGATCTTCATTATTTTCAAAATGTATTTTTCCCTCTATTCTTAATTTTCAACTACACATTTTTCAATAAAATAATATTACACGCAAATTCAAATCTTTTCTTTATTTTTTAACCACATATTTTTCATCAATCCATTATTACAAAATGCATTCCTAACTAAAAATGAGACTCAAACATGCACATAATATTAAGAAAAAAAAAAAAAATCAAATAGAGACTAAGCCCTTTTTAATACCTATTTTTTTCAAAATATATTTTTCTCTCTTCTTTTTAATCACATATTTTTCAATAAAATAATATTAGGCGCAATCCAAATTTTTTTCCTTTTTGTAACCATATATTCTCTATCAATCTACTATTTCAAAATATATTCTACACCAAAAATAGGGATTAGACATGCCCTAAATCTGTTAACTCGTTATGTGGTCAATGACTAATACATTGAATGCTTATTTGATTCTCATTGATCGGGGAAAAAAAGTTTTGAATAGAATTTTCAGAAAAATGCGTGATTAAAATGTAAGAAAAATTTTCACTGTTTATAATATTTTATTGTGTGAATATATGATTGAAAATGATCTTGTAAAAAATCATAAAATAAAATTAATGGGTGTCAAACAGGTTGTGCCTGTGTAAGTGTTTGAGCTCCTTTTTTTTCTTTGGAAATTGAGTTTTGTAAGTGAATTTTTAGATAATGTATGGTTAAAAAGTAAGAAAATTTTTTGGGTTTGTAATATATTTTATTGTGAAAATATGTGGTTAAAACTAAATTTGGAATTAAAAATTTAGATAATGAGATCAAGACTAATATTCCCCCATCTTTCTTTTAACAACCTGATTGGTTCCCATAAAATTCAATTTTTTCTTTTTTCTTATCAATCACACATTTTTAATAAAATAAAATTACACGTAAATCTAAAAAAAATTCATTCTTTTTTAAACACATATTCTTCAAAAAATTACAATTCCCCTCGTTATGATTTGAAAAAATGGAGTCCAAACTGGTCGATTATAGAAAAAACTCCATCTACTTTCTTGCTTTACGGCACGGCTTGAGCCCACGGCTTATATATATATATATATTACTTGCTTAATTTATTTCACAAATACACCAATAAAATAATTAAATAAATTTTTTTGAATTATTTATATTACAATAATAATACATTTCATTTTGTTAGGTGTGTTATACTTCTTTGTAAATGTGTTGTATACACACTTACTTATTGCCTAAGTTCATCCGGATAGGTGTCTCATCAAGTGACAACTTTTAATAAAAGTGACGAATTCAAAAAAGTGGCACAAATTAAAAGTTATACAGATAAAAAAAAAGTGACAGATAATAAAAAAAGTGACATACTCTAAAAGTGACAATTCAAAGAAAGTGACAAACTCAAAAAAGTAAAAAATTTTTTAAAAAAAGTGACACAAATTAAAAAAAAAGTGATAAACGCTCTAAAGTGACAAAATTCAAAAACAATGTTATTGCCTGCACTAAACTCATTGTTTTTCCAAAAACAATGAAATGTGATGGAAGACACATTTTTGAAATGGTTACATTTTTGGGTTTTTAATAATGTAATCGATCACTTGCATTATATGTATTTACATGTGCATAAAACTGATGGAAAATCAAGAAAAGAGCAATTCATCCTTGTGCAATACACCATCTATTCTCTTCTCCATAAAACTATAGAAAAACTAACATTACACCACCTGCACCATCGCCTAAACATCCACAGTTGCCTCCACCACCGCCTTCTGCTCCTACTCCTCCACCAAGTCCACCCCCAGCTCCTCCTCCCAGTCCACCGCCAGCTCCACCTCCCAGTCCTCCACCAAGTCCACCACTACCTCCTGCTCCTCCATGGTTGGGGCAGATGATTTCAAGGTAGAGGATTTCTCCATTCCCAATTTTAATATCTCTGATACAATTTGAGAAATCTAAATGGCAGACCCGTGTCTTTGCTTGTTCTTGTAAGGAAAACGCGAAATGTCGATCGAGATTCTTAGTTCTGGGGAGGTTCTCACTCTCATTGGGGTATTTTTTCCATTCCTTGCTCCGATCCGGGCCTCTTCCTCACGCTCTCTTTCGACATCATTATACCCATCAGCAGTAGGTTCGACCCACAGGCAGAATCCCGGTGGGTCAAGTCCAAACTCCAAGACCAATTCAATACTATACATTCAACCTTGTCCCATCGTTCGCTTCCTCTGCGGCCCCATTTTTATCACGATATCCACCGACTACGCCGTGGAGGGTAGCGACTTGACCACAAGCTAAGATTTATTCATAGGGAGGAAATGGGGTAGGGGCTAAGCTCCAGACAATTACGCGAAAACATGCGGACCTGAGAGAATCAGGGGTGGTTTTGATAGTTTTAGACAGTATTAAATACTTGATTAAATCATTTAATTAGTTAATAGGGTATAATCAAATTAGTAATTTTTCAGGGTATTAGACCTAATTTTCCCTTGTTTTAATCCAATTTCAGCCCAAAACCCAAAACCCAAAACTAAACCAAATTGATTAAGGAGAAATTATGCCCACAACCCCAAAAATTAAGAAATTCGAACAATGCCCTATTAACTAATTAAAATCTTTAATTACATAATTTATACGCTCTAATCCATAAAAACCCCAAAGCCAAAATCTAAACCCCCTGAGTTACGATTTCAGAAAGGATCTTGCTACAAGTACATAAGACTTACATAATGCCACATAGGGATGGGCTCAGCTCGGCCTATCTACCCTTGAGCTCGGCTCGTCACTGCTCGGCTCGTCAAAGTGACGAGCCGAGCTCAAGCTCGTTCGAGCACGAACTGAGCTTGGCTGGTGCTCAAGGGTCGAGCTCGGCTCGGTCGACAAGCTTGTGTTTTTTTTTAATTTTTTCTCACATTTTTTATGAGCCTACGAGCCGCTCGCAACCAAAACGAGAGCGATCTGGCTTGCTCCGCTTGTGCTCGGGGCTCGTGGCTTATTTTTGACGAGCTGACTCGGCTCGATTGCCACCCTTAATGCCACATGACGCTATAAAAGCTACCAGTTTTCCCTCCACCCACATCATATTATGTAATCAATTATGTACCCTTTTATGTACAAGTAGCAAAACCTTTCTAAAAAAACTCTTAAATAATTACAATAAAGAGAAACCATCCTCCTTACCCACAACTCCGCTCCTACTCACCCACAACTCCACCGGCTACACCATGATTCCACTATGAGAAACCCTCACTCACAACTCCATCGACTATTCCGAGAAAACTCCCAATTTCAGTAAAGAGTAACCTTTACCCATACCACAACTTTGCTCCGACAAACCCTCACCCACAAATCAAAATTCTTGCTTCTTCAACAAATGAACCAAAAAGCCCAGAAATAGAACTTCCAAAATTAGAAACTCCCAAATCGTAGAAACCACCACCCCTCGACTTCGACTCCAACATTCTTGCAGAGAAACCCTTACCCGACTCAAACCAGGGCTAGAGAAAGTAAATCTAAGGTGATGAAGAAAAAATCAACTATTGTTGAAGAAGGAACTTCAAAGAATAAGAAATATATTTCTTCACAAGTTTATAAATCTAGGGTTGGTCAAGATTTTTCACCGATTTAAGTTTTTATGACTTTTATTCAATTTTGATATTCAAAAGTTTTATTTCTTGTGTATTGTAACTTTTTTTTGTTTCTTTTGTTTTCAAGTTCTTTAAATCTATTTTGAAATGCTTACTTTCCTAGAATCAAAGCGTGTTTTGTATTTTGTGATTATTAAACTTAGAGTGTAGTGTTTTGTGTTTTCTAAGGAATCCATTGTTTGTGTTTTGTAAAAAGAACATATGAATCGTTTATTAAAATTGACCTGCCCTGCCCCGGGCCTGGTCAAGTCAGCCTAAAACCCAACAATTTTGATAGAATGGCTTGTCAGTTTGTACATTTTTATCAGAAAGCATATGAACCGATGAAGAACCAAAAAAACTGATCAAAATTGTTCGAGCTGGCCGATTTTTAATAAATCTCGGAGAGTCAGCCCAAACTGGCTCGACCAGTACCACAACAATTTATACAAAAACGTATGTGTCTAGAATCAATTTGAACCTAAACAAATCATATAATACACCCTGTTGCTAGCTAATAAGCCGTTTTGACTTTTGTTTGTTTAAGAGGTCAATAAACACACACACACACACACGCGCGCGCACACACACACACACACACACACTCTCTCTCTCTTTTAGGTGCTGTCTGGGAGTGATTAAAGGTTTTCAAAAATTTATTTTAAAGTCAAATCATGTACAGTACAAGTCCTTGGTTGTCTCAGAAATTGGATAAAATTTCCACTAATGCCCCTCGTATCATACAAAGCTGTAATTGATTCTTTGACTATTCTTGCAGGTTTGAATTAATTAATGTGGGCCCCTTGTCTTCAATTTTTTGGGAATTCATTTGTCTTCTTGTGTACAATAATGAACTTGTTTTCTCGTCAACAATTTTCATCCTCAACAACGTATAATTGACAAGTTTTGGAATCAATTTTTTTGCACTTTCGTTACATGAAATTATTTAGTTACACGAATGGATATCACCACACAACATGCATTAATTTAATAGTAGAAAATATGAAGTGTCCCCCACGAAATCAAATTACGGATAACAAATAGATTTCAAACTTGATGTGCCAAGTAATCTCGGAACATATCCTACTCATTTCGTTGAGTTTCCAGCGCATGCATTTCGGCTGCAACTTCTTCTCGTTCGTCCGGGAGGTCTACCTCTGCTGCGTCAGGGTCCGTCTCCGCTCTAGTAAACGCATCATCTACCACACTCGCGCGTCGAAGGAAGTTGTGAATTCCCATAATTGCAATTACAACTCCTGTTTACACTTTAAAATTATAACTTGGCATCTGATCGAGTATTTTCCAACGACTTTTCCTCACGCCGAACACACGTTCGATTACGTTTCTGTGAGACGAGTACTGAAAATTAAACTTCTCCCGTGCATTTCGGAATTGCGCCTACGACCAGTCGACCCGTCGTAAAATTGCTGAAAGTGGTACAGTATATCTGAACCCTTATATGGCGCTATGTACCCTGGTCGATGCGCGAAACTTGAGTCAACCAGATAATATTTTCCAGGAGCCGATTTCAGGAAGTCTATTTCGGGTTCATGTATAACCCTAGACAAGAATCTAGCATCATGACTATTTCCTGTAGAGCCAGCAAGTACAAACGTGAAACACAAATTGAAAACTCACCCACTCGTCACGCAGTAGAACGATCATGACGTGTGTACCGTCAATAGCTCCTATGCAATCCCAAAACATAAATTGAAATCACATGCCGCCAGTACATTTTGCGTCGAAATTCCTTTGCGCCCGATGAAACTCACTCGCTCGTCCCGGGGTAGAACGGCTCAAACGTGTGTACCGTCAATAGCTCCTATGCAATCCCGAAATAGGGTATGTTTCGTCAGATTCGAAACGTGGTGCTCGGCACCATGATTGTAGTTTGGATCCGATTTAATTAACTGCCGGTACGAGAACTCAACAACGGCTTCGAGCACAAGTTTGAAGTAGTGTCCAATGGTCTCCAGCGAATGGTTGAATAACGTCTGCACTTGTCTATAACCCTTTCCATGCGCCAGAATGCATAGAAACATACCCACTTGTTCGTACACATCGATATGTTGTCTGCTTCGCAGTCCGTACTCATCTCGAAGGACGTGTGTAAATGCTCGCAACATCGCGGGGTACAGGCGGAACTCCGCGTAGCAATGTTGAGGGCTACAATTCATAGCATTTAGCATAAACATGTGCCCGTTTCACGCGAATGGATAGTGAGAAATATGACGTTGTACACGATAGTAACGTAAATTCACGTCATTCCTCTGACAAAATTGAAACCACTTTCTAATATCCACGAACAGCTCCTCCATATATGCCGTGTCATCAATTTCAACATCGCCATCGGACATTTGTTGCAAATTACAGTTGAAATCGAAATGCGCCATACCCTCACTTTTTTTTCCCAAAATAGAAGAAGATGCAAACAGAAGGCAGTGAAATAATGTTACTTTCTCTAGCCCTTTATAGGCAAATGGAAAGTAAAGGATTGCATGAGTTATGTAACTTAAAGCTGTCCGTGAGCAATGAAACATGTGAGTGGTTCATGTTTAAAAAATAAAAGGTACCTTTGTGCACAGCACTGGAGAAATAATTCTATAGCCTATTTTTGTTTGAAAGCTTGCTGAGTCTATACAGGAATAAGCATGCAAGCCTAAAACAGTTGCTTTCATTATTATTGCATACACATATTGCAGCACATGTAAAATAAGCACAGAAGGTACAACATGTTCCAATGCTTTCATCACATGCAAGCCTAAAACACCACAAATCATAACGTAAATTACCCACATAAAATAGTACATCACATGCAAGCCTAAAACAGTTGCTTTCATTACACAGATCATAACTTAAATTGCCTACATAAAATACAGTACAACATATTCCAATGCTTTAATCTAAACACCATGAAAATAGACGTCATCGAGGCTACCCCTTTAAATGTTGTTGCCAGCTCCACTCCACATATCCGAACTTGTAGTTTACACCGTCTTGAATATCCAAAATCTCCCTATTGCGTTTATCCTCGAGGAAATTACACGTCCACTACTAGAAATCGGTTCCCTTTTCAAGTCAACCCATGGCCAATAACTCTTGCAAGCATGTTTTCGCATCGGACACAGCTGGTCCAATTAACTTGTCAATTTTGGTTGTCACCTTTTCGCTAGTATTGGTGGCACGATCCACTGAGTACGACACGTCTTTCGCAGACATCTTTTTCTTCTTCTCTTTAGTTCGACCTCTAACTGCTTTCTGTTTATCACCACTGTGCGGGCCCGATATATCCATAGTTGGTACTGCCGAAAAGGGTTCGACGGCCTTGTCACTAGACCCACTGCTCTCCACATCTATCGGTGTTTCATCACGGTGATCTTCAGTAGCACTGTCTTCGAACATTGCGAAGCCGGTGCGAGATAGCTTACTTGGAGTCACGGCGTACTTGTCATTACCGAAAACGTCCCCGAACAATGTCTTGTATCGGTAGACCTCCTGGCAATCTTTGTCCTTAAACTCCTTATAGTCTTTGTTCTCCTGTTGCAGTATGAAGAGAAAATGAGGTTCAACAGTATGCATGTACAATACACATAACAGAATTGATGCCGATCCACATATGAGTGTTCTTTCAAAAACCATCTACCAAACGAATTTAATGATATAAACTAATCAAAACAAAATGTTTCTTTGGGGTCTGAGATTGAAAGGAATCCATTACTGCTATAGCCTTGAAGGAATACCAAAATCTGCTTGCCTGGAGAAAAATTGTGCATTTTGTCATTATCTTAGATTGTGCCTTTTGTCATTATCATAGATTCTCAATCAATGCCATGGAAGAAAAATTGTGCCTTTTGTCATTATCACATATTGGTAGAAGTCATCAAATGGGTGTGGCCTACTGATGACAATATCCCATGAACATAGAAGAATACATGAAAATAAACAAACCGTGTCCTAATCTCCCGTGCATTTATTGAAAGTGGTTCAAACTGTATAGTAAACTTATTGTTTTAGTATTCACAAGTTGCCTGGATTGTCGCCTTTAATATATCTAGATGCTTAAAAACTTTGAATTCATTTTGTTACAGTAATCTAGATAAGAGGAGAAATTGGTAGTCTGCTGAATAAGTAGCAAATTTCAGAGCACGTCCAACAAAATACTTCTTAACGAATTTCTTAATTCGTAGACACTAGTTCCACATTTCAAAAAAGACATGAGCAATGACTTCTTCTTAATGACAGGATGGTACCTGAATTTTTCAAGCCCACCACTCATCGGATGCCCCAATCTTGCCAATTGTAGGGTCGTACGAGATGCCATTGCAGTTAAGCAATTGTTCGAATCGTTTGTGTTTCATGCCCTCCCATCGATTTTTCAGCTGTTATTTGTTCCAATCGTGGCCGAAAGTGGTGTTGAACAGCCGTGTTTGGTGAAGCACTTGTCGTTCCTGTGTCCATCAGCGATAACGGACTCGCAGGTAGCCACGAAGATATTTGTCTCATATGCATTCCATATAGCATTCTTACGTGGCATCCTATGGTTGTGAACCGAAGGGCCGGTTGAGGTCGACGAGTGACCCCGTTGGAAATTCTGTGAGTTCTACCGTTGGAAATTCTGCTGTAGTCGAAGAAGAATTTTAAAATTTTGCTCAAGCATGACATAATTACCCAAGCACGATAGAATTTTGTTCAAGAAATTGAAAATAGCAGGTAACTCCACTGTAATTGCAAAAGGGAATAAAACTTACCCAAGACGGTTCCAATGGATCCATCACAGTCTCTGAAAATGTTGAACTCTAATCTGACGAAGAAGGAGGAGCACCGAAACATTTTCT